GCTGAATACCATCTACTAGGGTTAAGCATGAGACTTGAATGTAAATATTTCCTGGAGGTGTAATAGTGCATGGTCATCCAGCAGGATGTATAACCAGAACCAGTAAAACAATAGGATCAATTTCACAATGCTGTGTGGGGACCTTAACTCATGACCTCTGCCAGAGGGGAAGAGATGTTTATTAATCTGGAATTTTCATGATAAATAAAAAGCACGGAAAATGTAAAATCCTATAGCCTTCCACGCAGCTTTACTAACACACTTAAATCCTGACCTGCAGCCCTCCCTGCCTCTTGCTATTCCAGACAAGGCCCTTTCTATGGCAGGGCCCATTAGCCATGCCAAAATTAGACTGGTTTTGTGATATGAACCAATATCTAGTAGGGACTGTGGTGGAGCTCACAAAACGTATTTTCAGCTGTGCCCTTAGAAAGATGTGAACTCCAGCCCCTAGAATATACTGGCACATCACCCCAGATTGCCATCAAACACTATTTTAAAAAAGAAGTTTTATAAGAAGATTTAGAAATCCTTATCTAAGGTGCATCTAATTCCATTTCCATGTACCCAGACAGCCTACTTTAAACATTCAGTTTATGTTTTGCAATCCTAAATCTCCCCAATCCTGTTCCCTGTTCATTAGGCACTAACTCAATCTCACACCAATTACAAGAAGACAAGGTGCACAGACTGATATATACAACATGGTTATATTTCAACAACGATCATTGCTTAAGAAAAGCCACATTTCCAAATCACAAACAAAAAATTATTAGTTCCATCTTTTCCAGCAGGCTGACCTCTCCATCCAGGTATCTTCTTCCATTCCAACAGATCAGAACTCTAAATGCTGATCATATCCCGTCACAACCAAGACCACACACCATCCTGCTATTGTGGAAGCACAGCCAAATAGAAAAGGTCTCATTCTCACCCTATTTCCTTTCTGAACCCATTAACTCTTGCATCTACGAAGTTGCTAATGTAACTAAGCCTATACTCAAATATTCCCAACAGTTTAGGGTAATATAGAGAAACCCAAGAGAAAAGGATGCCAAAATCTGCAAGGTGAAATTCTACCTGTGCTAAATCTTTTAAGACCTCTGGGAGCACTATTTTAATAGATATATTTAAAAGTGACTGGAAACAGACTAGCTGAGTGACAGCATCATCTTGTTTGCACAGGAATAGCCCTTGTTCTTTCTGATACCTGCAGACTGGCAAATCTAAACCCTCATTACACCGAAATGTTGATAACCGAGAGTAGCCTATTTGGACTGAGTACTCTGAAGACCTCTAAAAGGCCAGAACCAAGCACAGCTGTGTTACATTATCACCCAAGACTGCCAGACGGGCCCTAAAGACCCAATGCGTGATGAGTGCTCTGCTTACTCTATTGTCAGGCATCTGTCATTTTAGGACAGCCCAAATCTTCAGCGATTAGAAAGGATTTAACAAGCCCAAGGTCTGGTCTACATTGAAAAGTTAGGTCGACCCAGCTACATCACTCAGAGGTGTGCAAAATCCACAAACAGTTAAGTCTATCTAACCCCAGGTGTACATAACACTAGGTCGACAGACCTAGATACCGCCTCTTGAGGAGGTGGATTCCTACGTTGCCAGGAGAACCCCTCCCATCCCGTATAGTAGTATCTACACTGAAGCACCACAGCAGTGCCGTTGCCACTGTAGCATTTAAAGTGTAGACAAGTCTTAAGTCATCCCCACTGCATCTGTGAGGCAACAGGCCAACCCACCACTATACTGGAATATTGAATGTAAATCTTTATTCTCTGTTAGGCTACACGTATCAGGTTTTGGGGCTGAGACCATCATGTGCTATGGGCAGCCACTTATTGGATATTCTTGTGCTGTTAGCAGCCAAATGTCCAAAAGTTCTGTGGATTGAAGGTGGCCAATCTTCAGTTTCCAGTGCCAGCCACCTAAAATGCCACCACTGAAAACGAGAGAATCAATATTTTGAGGCAAAAACCACAAGCACATACTTGGCTTGCAAATAGAGAGTACATCAACAAGCAAAGATATGGAAACAAAAACCCTCAGTAATTTAATTACTGGCCTGGAATCTGCTGACTGCCTGTTAATTGTTTGAGCTCTCAAACTGTTAAGAGACCACCCTGTGATTCCTGAGTTTTTTCACCCCATATGAGGACATCCACAACCATGGCAAATATATCCAGAAATGTGAGTGTCATCAGGAAACCCTTTCTTTTTCACAATCCTATAATAACTTAAAAATGAAGCTCCCAATCCTCCCCCTCTTGTCATGTTCATAGACAACTAGAGACCTTTGTTAGACATTGAATTAATCTCCCTTTGAAATGTTTCCAAATGTTCCGAAGATGAGAAAAAGCTTCCTTCACATCTTGTTATCCTAATGAAATGATGGAGGTTCTTTATTACTACCACTGTGGAAGGAACACCTTGCAGGAATGTTCTGCCAGGCAAAGGCCAGATACCTGTGTGAGATACGAAATACCTGTGTGAGAACTGCTCAGGAGGCTCCATACTCCAAAATTCTACTTCACAGTTCTCACTCCGTTTTATTTGCTGCAAAGGGAATTCTGTTGATTGGAAGATTCTGATATGACAGAACTGCTTTCTGATCCCACCAGTGAAAACTGGCAAGGCCAGAACAGCAAACAGCCTGTGGGGCCAGAGGAAACACTGCCTTCTACGTAACCATGTGTCATGATAGAGCCTCTCGGCATATTATGATTCTTTCAATAGCAAAACTCTCAGACTGGAAAAATAACAGAAGAATAGAAACTACAGTAAGAAAGCATAAGGCCAATCTCTATCCAAAGTCTTTTTCCTAGCTATATAAAGGCAGCAATAATTGGTAATGGGGAAAATGACAGTAGATGCCCCAGAAGTGTCTTGTGAAATGTCAACTATTCCCTCATGATAAAGAGAACAGTATAAGGTCATTTCTTTTGGGAGGAATGCTTTTCTTCTCAGGTAACTTCAAAGAGCAAACCTTTGACTCTTGTTGCATAAAGCCCGGGCTCATTATCTATTATGGTTGCAAATCTGATGGCGAGAGGACAGTACTACTATGTTTACCCTTTCTTCCCTTCTATAGAGCCAGAACTACTAAGTCCCAGCATCTAAAAATTACCCTGCCCTCTGTAGTGCACACATAAAAATAATTTCTGGGCCAAAGTTTTTCACTAACTACTAGTTTTAAAATGATCAAAAAGGAAAGGTAAGTCTGCACGTTCCTTCTGCCAAGATGTCATCACTTGGAGAGCATACAACTTGGGACTCAGATGCATCGAGGTGACTTCTTTATTCAGCCTTTCCTCATGGTTACAGTCTTCGGAGACCAACAGAAGCAAAACAACTCTCTTTAAAATATCACAACAAGCAAAATGCCAAATTTCATTTGAATTTATTATGAAAATCTTGTCCCTGCTCCAATTTCAGTGCTCAAAGACAAAACTGAAACAAGGTCAGGTTCATGTTAGCTAAACTTACCAGAATTTATTGTAGAGTGACTCTGAGCAGCTATGAATAAACACTCCCCATAGGAGCCACGTTAAAAAAGTAAGTCTGATGACTGAAAAAGGCTAGAATCAAGAGTGCTTTAGCTTACCTGAAATATGGTTTGGGCCACTATTCATTGTGACAGAAGAACATCTAGCATGTTATGTAGGAAGCGTAAACCCAGATCCTGATCTCCATTACACTGGTGTAAATCTGATAACTTCGTCTTCAACTGAGTTACATCATTGTAAATGAGATCACATTTCGGCCCACACTCCAAGAGCTAATGCAACCAGGAGAATCTCGAGTACAGAAGTTATTATAACTGTGTATTTGGCACTGTTGCAACTGTTTCTGAAATATTGTGTCCAGTTCTGGTGCCCACAATTCGAAAACGATATTGACAAACTGGAGCAGGTTCAGAGAAGAGTCACAACAATGACTGAAGGATTAGAAAACATGCCTTATAGTAGCAGACTCCAGGAGCTCAAGCTATTTAGCTTAACAAAAAGAAAGTGAAGGGGTGACTTGGTTACAGTCTACATGTACCCAAGTGGGGAACAATTATTTAGTAACAGGCTCTTCAATCTAGCAAAGAAAGGTAGAGCACGATCCAATGGCTCAAAGCTGAAACTAAACAAATTCAGACTAGAAATAAGGCGTAAATGTTTAACAGTGAGGGTCATTAACCATTTGGAACAATTTATCAAGGGCCATGGTGGATTCTCCATCACTGTGATTTTTTAAATCAAGATCGGATGCTTTTCTAAAGAAGAGTGACTCTAGGAATTATTTTATGTTATACAGGGGGTCATATTAGATGATCACAACAGTCCCTCCAATCTTGGAATCTATGAATCTACATTGCTTTTTAATATACAATCAACTCTGCTAGAAGGACACCACATTTCCTTAACAGAATTTTGTTAAACCTTACATTAAGCGTTTACATTTTTAAGAAATATTTTTGTATTTCAATTAATAAAATGAGGAAAACAGTTTCAATTAGTGTCACAGCTTTTCCGTGGCAGATAAATGAGAAAGTGTGCGCTACAGTATAAATGTCCCTGAGGCTTCAATTTACATAAGAACGGCCATACTGGATCAGACCAATGGTCCATCTAGCCCAATATCCTGTCTTCCAAAAGTGGCCAGTGCCCGATGCTTCAAAGGGAATGAATAGAACAGACCAATTATCAAGTGATCCACCTCCAGTTATCCAGTCCCAGCTTCTGGCAGTTGAGACACCCAGAACATGGGGATGCATCCCTGACCACCTTGGCTAATAGCCATTGAAGGACTGATTCTCCATTAACTTATTTAATTCTTTTTTGAACCCAGTTGTCTTCTGGCCTTCACAATATCCCCTGGCAATGAGTTCCACAGGTTGGCTGTGTGTATTTATTTTATAAAAACTGATCCAGTAAGATGAAATAACCCGCAGAAGTAAATGATTTAATATTTTAACATTAAAATATTCTCTTGCTTACCGAAAATTTCTCCGTTTTTGGCGTACTCTGTCACAAGGTACAACATGCTTTTGGTCTCCATCACCTGTTGATGGAGAAATTGCATATTAGTTTAGTTGGAGAAGGGTAAAAACTACATAAATATAGCTATTCCAGCCCTTCTCCCCCAAAGAAAGTCACTTAAGGTCTCAAGCCTGCAAACACGTACACAGATGCTTAAATTTAGTCACATGACTGACTTCAACCGGGCTACCGTGTGCTGACGGTTAGCCAAATGCTTAAGTACTTTGCTAAAATTGGAGCCTAAATGACAACTTAGATTTGATTCTTAGTCCCAAATAATAGCTATGAGAAGCTGACAACTCCAAATGCTAACTGAGTGAACAGACTTGGCCTGAAAGTGGTTTGCACTTGAGCCAACATGTCTGAGTAACTGTTCTGCTTAACTCCTCTTCTGACTTGCTGGAAAATTATTAGTGTCTGTAGACAGGAAAGAAGCTTGGAGCCCTTGCTGCCCTCAGTCGTCATGGTGGAAAAAAACAATGTATTGCACGTTTGGGAAAGAGTGGCTAATCCGATAAATCATGAGATTCTATTGATACCATAATGCAACTGTGCGCAGTACGGTAATGGAACCATCACATCCCCAGTTTCACCTTTCTGGAAATTTTACAAACAACTTAAAACTTCTTTCCTCAGACATCTATAGCCCTGATGCTGTTTGAGTGACCTTTTCCACAAGTTTCAGAGTGGTAGTCGTGTTAGTCTGTATCAGCAAAAAGAACGAGGAGTACTTGTGGCACCTTAGAGACTCTACGGTGCCACAAGTACTCCTCATTCTTTTCCACAAGGATAGCCTGTTCTCAATTTGGAAATACTGGACAAAATCTACATCTCTAAATTTGACATAAAAATTTCTGCGCTGTCCCAAACAAGGGGATTTCACCTAAGAATTCAGGACACAAACTTGCCAAGAAATCTACCCCCAAAAGGAAAACTTCCTTGATTACACTGCAGTTTTGATTCTATGCATCACCCTAGCTTAATCTTTTAAATGCTCCCTCAGTAGCTCATTACACAAGTAGCAGGACCAAAAACAGACTGAAAAACTGTATTTTAAAATAAAAATAGTCATTTAGGATTTTCTTCTGCAGCAGGTTATAACAATTTAAGTGTCAGTCACATTTTGGACCTTAACTATTTAAACAAACCTGAGTACTGTAATTTGTTAAAGACAGACCAACCTGAGTAAGTTGTGGGCACAGCCTCCTTTAGTCATGATTTTCTGGCTTTTTATTTATTCACAATCTGGAAACTATTGCAACAGTTTCAAGTAAATAATTGTTTTTGAAGAAATGTGTTTTTCTTCTTAGGTTTTAAAACATATTTTAACATGTTGTAGCCATGTTGATCCCAGGATATTCAAGAGACAAGGTGGATGAAGTAACATCTTTTACTGTACCAACTTCTGTTGGTGAAAGACAAACTGTCGATCTACACAGAGCTAAAGAACAAACAGCTGAAGACGTACTCCGTGTAGCTCAAAAGCTTGTCTCTTTCACCAACAGAAATTGGTCCAGTAAAAGATATTACCTCACTCACTTTGTATCTCACATATCTTTAACAGAAAATTATAAAACCCACATGAATTACCCAAAAGATTTGATATAGCTCTACAGATAGAACACAATGCCTGATCTTCAGAAAGTCCAACCATATCTGGGTCCTTATTTAATTCTATAAAGGTCCAGAGTGCATTTTGCCTGTAATTTTCTTTATTGAAAAAGAAAATAGTATGGAAAGGTTGGTTGGTTTTTAATTCAACACCTGGAGAAGGCAGGAAATGTCAATATTGTATTTTCTACACTAGAAAGCCATGAATTTGGTCCCCATTATGCCCAGCCCCCTCAAATAGGGAGCTCTGAGACTCATATTGTGGGCATACCCCCATGACGGGCACATTATATGTAGATAGATTAGAAAGACTCAATGTTTTTGGCATGCTAATGTTACTTTTATCTACTTACCTATCTACCAAATGTATTTCTAATGTGCCAATGACAACAATATCTAGGAGGCAAACATAAAATTAAAAGTTGCATTACCTTTGTCCGTAACTGTCCTTGCTTCCCTCCAGTCCCTAATTTAACTGCTTTCCACTCCTCCCTCTCCCTCGTTTTTCTTTTTTGTCATTCATTTAGGAGATTGTGATGAATTTTACTTATGCTAGCTACTAATTTTATCCCCTAACATTTGCCTCTATTCTATGAATCACAAGTTGATTTTAAAAGGAAGTGCCAGACTATTTCCCATAACATGAAATTAAAGCTAAACAAGACTTTGCTAAATCAAGACCTTTGTCTTTATTCAGTGGAATAATTCTGTCACCAAAGGGTTGATCTTTTATGTGAGCAATCCCATTGCCTTCAAAGGGCTGCAGGATCAAGCCCTCAGTTTGAATGCAAAGGGGTTTTTATTTTTGTTTTATTTTTTGATGCCTGCAATTTGAGTTAAACATGTTTCTTGCATGATATTTCAAATACGAAATCAGATGAAGCACCATTCATGAAATAAATTGGCCTAAATTTACTAAAAAGGTTGTTGACAGGGAAGTTAGGCCCAAAATGTAGATTCTGTAATATATAAGGATGTAGATTCAGATCAAAATCTTATTCTGAAATGCCAATAACCCAAAATGCCATGGCATCATGTTTGTATGAATAACAGAAAAGGAAAGATACTAGAAACAAATGTGAAACTGACTAATCTATTTTTACCATCCAATTTAAGTGAAATGCAAAAAGAATACAGCATAAATAGTGAAAAGTAAAACAGATTTTTAAGAAGTCTTTCAGGTCTAGAGTTCGATCATCCAGGTTCCTCAAGTCTTGAGTGGGAGGTGAAAAACTTAGAAGAAGCTAAAGCTAAAAGCTATAGAAAGACTATAGAAGCTTCTTCTGGTATATGTTCAATGAATTCAGACATTTTTTAATAGTTGGAGTGATTGTATTTGGCCATTAATGCTTCAAAGTTTGCAATCCTGAACTGTAAGGTCACAGAGGAGTAAGTTTTACGACCAAAAAGATCCAATCTCTTCCACTCCGTTATATGGAGTGATCTGGAGTGGTGTTGTCTGCCCCGTTCATTCATGGCGTGCGACAATAAAAATTCCACTCTCTTGGAAGGTACATAATTATTTTTAATCTGCTCTTTTGCAAGTGGGCATAATTGTTGCTAGGGTTTGCCAGATAGTCTTGGCTGGGTCCATGAGAGCCTCATTTATTGGAGGAGTAATCTTGGAAGAGGTTGAAGTTTGGAGGATGTCCAACAACTTATGTTGGGACTCTGCAACTTCTTCCAGCGGTATACCCAGGGAGTCTGCAATCCTCTTAAACAGTTCTTGGAACTGTTTAAAGTCATCCCCATCGTAGGTGGTGGGGGCATGATAGTTTCATCCGGAGAGAAGGATGAAAAACTGGCAGATACAGTGACTTCCTGATCCGAAGTCTCCTCCAGTTTCTCGATTGCCTCTTCCAGGGATTCAGAGGGTCGAGATACTGAAGGTGATGGAGAATGCCTTGACCTCTCCCTGTGTGGACAGGGAGGCTTAGGGTAGTGTTGGTGATACGCTGCTCATGCGTCCCAGTAGGGCCACTGTGGTGGGAATGACATTGGTGGCAGCATCCAGGGGTGTCTGTACCATCCTTGAGTTTCAGCTCTTGGGTGGTACTGATGTTATTCTAGTGGACCCGGTCTGGTGGCCGTCTGTATAGGCGAAGAGCAATGGGAGGAGTAGATTTTCCCTTCCTCATCATCATCCTTGTCACTGGATAAAGGAGGAGCTGATCTGGTTTGTGTAGCAAGTTGGCATGGTACCAACCATGCAGAAATAACGTCGGTACCGAGGAGTGGCAATTCCGGTGTTGACGAGACTAAAAGGTCTCTATGCTGGAGAAACTGCTGCAGTATGGAGAGTATATCAGTTCTGAGCAGGGTGTTGTCAGTGGTACTGATGCCTTTACCGCGATTGTCAGTGTCGAGGGTTGTGCGCTGTGGAGGCAGGAGGTGACGCCATAGATTGTAGCACTGCCAAGCTGCTCAGTGCTGCTACTGCATGTTTGAGTGGCTCTGGCGGTACCAAGGCAGGGATTGTAGGTTTCCCTTTTGTGCCTTTGTCTGAACCCACCTTAGTGTCTTTGGCTTGCACGGTACCGGATGGTCCCGCTGTGTCAGAGGTGGGTGGTCTTGGTGCGGTCAGTACCAAAGGGGTCTGACGGGTCAGGGAACTACAGGTCCTATAAGGTTACCGTCCTATCGTCTTCAAATCTGTGTCCATATGATCCCACTCTAGGTAACTGATAAGCACTGTTTCATCTACAAGGTGGGATTGAGAAGTCCTGGCAGCCACTAAATAAAGTGACTATAACACTGCTCTATCAAATTTGGTGTAGCTGATGTAGACTGACCAATTACTGAAGGAAGTGATGGTCTCTTCCGAGATAATCCTGGCTTCTTGCTGGGTGTGTACACAGAAGATTGTTGTCAAAGGTAGGTGGGTATCCTCTGTCTGGACTGTCTTTGGTATCTAAAGAGCTTGAGGTTTGGGGCTCAGGTGTAGAGGCAAACAGGTCATCATCCTCCCTAACTTGAACAGAGATACATGATCTTAGATCTAGGATGAAGGAACATCATACCTGCAGAGTTGGGGAGTGCATCCAGGAGAGAAGAGACTCTCTCCTAAAAAGATGTAGGCATTGTAGTGGACAAATAACCCAACATGAGCTCCCAGTATGACAATATGGCAAAAAAGGGCTAATGTGAGCCTTGGGTGTATAAACAGAAGAGTAGTGAGATGCTTTTACATAGGTATATGGCACTGATGAGACTGATACTGGAATATTGCATCCAGTTCTGGTGGCCTCATTTTAAAAATGAGGCTGAAAAGGTTGACAAGGTGGGGAAAAGAGCCAGAAATTTCTCCCAGAGGCAGTGCTGATCTTTGCGCCGACTTTGGTATTGTGAGTTTGGAGATGTAGATCAGTGCCAAGTGTTGAGCATCACTTGCCCCTACCGAATGAACAAGCTTAGCACTCTGCTGCTGAGAGGAGAGAGAGGGTTTGAGTCTCTCCTTGTGGGACGAGGGGGATCAGTACAGGCAGCAGTGTCTATCCAGGTGTTCAGATCTCGCTTGCCTTGGTGAGAATGCAGTACTGGTTCTCAGTGCCAGGGTGGGAAGTTGACACCAAGATAGTCTTCACTGGTTCCTGATCCTTGCCTGATGGGCTGTGGATTTTTGCCAGTAGTGAACTTGGATGTTGCGTGACAACTTGCAGGGGCATTGGCTGACTGGAACTTAGGGACCAGATCAATCTTGGATGTCAAACTTCGCTCTTCGGGTGCTGAAGTCCCTCCCATTGATTGTTTGACTCTGAGAGTCTCTGGACTTAGTTGCTGAGACAGAAAAGGATGTCATACAGAGCAGCAGTCTAACACATGGTTCTCCCTGAGACGACAAACACAGCAGCTGTGGTCATCTATGAGTGGAATAAGTGTCACAGGACTGCCACAGTTTGAAGCCTGAGGGTTTTGAATCTGCCAGTTTAGGTCTGGATACTGGGTAAAATTACAGAAGAAAAAACTTAAATTTAATTTTGTGGGGGGGGGGCAGGGTGGTGTGTGTGTTCATATAGAAAAAATTTAAAAGGAGGAAATTGAAGGGAATTAACTAATTTACGAGAGAAAATTCTGCTAAAAGGAAGGGAGTGGGCATCACTTGTTTTGTCTCGCTGCAATGGGCAGTAAGAAGAACTGAGGCTCTCAAGAATATAACATGTAGGTGTAGAAATATTATATTCTTGAGAGCCAAAGGACCAAATATACTAAACGACGACCTGTAAGAAAGATGTTCCCCCTCCCATTCATTCCTACCATAATGTGTTATCTTTAGACCCTATTTGGGAGATCCAGATTTCAAATTCAGCCTCTAGCTGGTAGGTATCTGAAAAGGTTCCCCACTCCCATCCCAGAGCTTCCTCTAGCTTTTGGGCTGCTGTGGAGAGGATGGGTGGTGTAGAATTTCTCTACTACTCTACTTCTGCCTTGGCCTCCACTTTTGAGTTCACCTCCCTTGTCAATAGTTCCAGTACTGCCCCTGCTCAGGGCAGAGAACATCTGGATGCCAATTAGACAAGCTGGCATTATAAGTCCCTAATCATTTCAGACAGATTTTGATTCAGCATCAATGGGAAGTGTGTGTGGCATGCCTCATAAAATCAGAAGGACTAATTGTTGAATGCCTTGAAATTCTTTACACAATATATTGGGTTCTGATGCCAGTCTCAGTCTGCAGCAGGCCTGATACACAACACCGTCCAGACATCAGAAAAGACTCAACAACATCTCTACACTTCAGACTTCAAGAAAGAAGTGTGTGCAATGAAGAACAAACCAAGAAACGTCTGAAACTGAACTCCCTCTACCTCATCTCTTTGTGCCAAAGTCTGTTAAATTATCAAGACACAATAAGACAAGGAAAGGGCAGTTTCACCTTTAACTCTGAACCTACCCAGCTGTACTGCAAACCCCCATACATCAACTGAAACTAGTCAGCAGATACAAAGATTCTGTTCAGAATTACACAAATAGGTTTACAGACAACTTCTATAAGTGGATCTGCAGCATCATGGTCTACTGTGTGTATACAGATTTATTCATGACTTAGGAAAAATAAAGATCCAAATCATGATTTGCCCTGCACCTTGTGGACTTGCTTACACCCACCCAGACAGGAAAGGCAGCATTTTGCCCCGATGTAAATGACCATACAACAATGAACTGGGACCTGGATTTTTAGGGGAACTGGACAGTTCAAAGGATTGGGTTTAAGAATCTTCCACTTGCAGGTGGTTGGTTTTAATTGAAAGTTACCACTTACACTGGTCTACAGTTTTTGAGAAGTCGTCTGCTTCAGAGATAAAATGTGCTATTTATTATGTATTTTGATGTGCTGAATTCAAATATGACAATTAAAACAACTGATTGGCTACTGTTTCTAAGATATTTAAGTTTTTACATTCTATGTCTATGTATATTGTGTAGATGATAGAGTTTTAATCATAAATTGTAAACCTGGGTCTTTTTATGTGTTTATGGTTGCTTTACATGATAATATTTCACCTGTCCTGTTTATGTAACACTTTAAAAATCAGCAAAAGGGTTATATAAATAAAATTTATTATGAAACGAAAGGCAAAAAACTATTATGTACATAGTTTAGTCCTATTCAGTGTCTACGTGGCGCTTCTTGGCTTGTCTCTTGTATTCATTAAATGGAGCATCTCTTGCAAGCATTGATGGGCTCCATTTGCCCTGATAGCGTTTCTCCATTGTTGCAATGTCCTGGTGAAATCGCTCGCTGTGCTCGTCGCTCACTGCTCCGCAGTTCAGTGGAA